AATGCCAAGTCCATTCAAACTTTTCAGCAAATGTAACTTGGCTGTTTAATGGCAAACCTCTGGAAAAAAAGTGGCATTATTCATTTGCATCTTGCAAACGAAATTTACAAGTCAAATACATTTCAAAAAGTGATGCAGGATTCTACACATGTGTTGTGACAAATGAGAAGGGGAAACAGGCATCAGCTCGTGCTAAGTTAAATGTTATTGGTAGGTAATCACCTGTAAAGGTTTGTACTGTAATCTTTGGAGCAAGCTTGCTTTTCCCCCTCAGAGATGACACTCTAATTACATAAATTATAATACAAGACATATAGCTCAGCCAGGTCATCCCCTAATTTGAAGGGATGAACCATCATCCTTAAATTATAGTAGAGACTGAGCAGGCTTAACTGCTACAGTATATTCTAGTGCTATATAGAGTTATCTCTTCAATGTGTGTCTGACAGGTTTAGGAAACTGTTGTCTTTAATCATGTGAAATGATCTCAGAACTGACACATGCTAAGAGCAAACAAATCAATTTTAAATTGTTGCTTTTCATTAGCACCCTTCAAACAGAATTTGATGAAACAGGAGATTGATACTCTTCTTTGCCCGAGAAAGCAAAGAACAATTGGAGATGATAATATATAATAGGGAATGAAAAAAGCTAAAAATCTTGATATTTCAGTAAATAGGGTATTTATTGTGGCAGGGGTATGGCCACTTACTGTATGTCGATCATAAGACATTAAATAAGTTACAGTGTTCTCTGTACCTTGTGCATGCCACTGGATAATGGTGGAGAGCCTTGAATTTGTGAAAATGCAGCCAGAGGTTTGGACATCAAGACAAAATTTTGAAAGTAAATTGATGCACTTGATTTGAATTAAATATTTTTCCAAGCTGCATTAAGCATAGAATTAATGAAGTTCTTGTTATTTTGCTGTGTATAAAATCTTTGTGAGACAGCCAAATAGCTCAGAAAGTCTTTAAATTTGCTCGTTGTTAATGGTTGTCATTGGTAAAGTTTAAAAAAAAATGTTTCATTCATTTTGATAGTATATTTTTCTAAGAATCGGTCCTTAAGTGGAGAATGTGGAATTTTTGCCCCAACCTTCTTCAGTGACTCTTCTGTACAGGCTGTGGGTTTACATGTAGTTAATCCACCCTGAATGTAGGAGAATGAAAGAAATTAAGTAGCTTGGAAAAAGCCTTTAAATTTGCTCACAAACATTATTTTGTTGTTGGTGCTGATGTAGTGGACTGGAACTGCTGTTCAGGATTACATTAAATGCATATTATTATCATTGATACTTAAATTAACTTGGCTTTGATTTAGAGGAAAATGTTGCAGTAACAATTGATTCTTACTGAGTCCTCTGTTTAATTTTAGCAAAAAGTCCCCCAGTTATAGAGTCTGCAGGACTTGAACCTGGGGACACACCCTACATTGGAGCCACAGTATACATAACCTGTCGCATTCGAAGCTCTGATCCATTAGTAACTGGTTCAGTATTGAAGGATGGCACAAGGTTAAATGAGGATAATAAACAACTGAAGTATGAGTATCATCATATAAGA